GTCCGCCCGTGGGTGCTGATTCGGGTGGACGGAGCTGTCCCCGAGATGGTGCTGCCCGGGCCGCGCACGGTTTTCCCCCGAAACGGGCCGCCGCGAGTGGAGGCGCTAGATCCCCGCGGGCGGACGCTGGTCGGAGCTGCCGCCGCCAAGAGCGGCTGGTGGACAGGGCCCCGGCCGGCATGCAGGCCAGGTCGCCCGGCGTGGGCCGCGCAGAGGCCGCGACTGGAGCTGCCCGTGTGCCCTCGGGCCGCCGCGGCCAGGGTTCCGCATCTGTGGCCCCTGTGGCCCTTTGCGGGGGAGTGCTGGCTGCTGGCACTCGACAGGGGGGCTGGTGGACGAGAGCGCAGCAAAGTGACCCCGTTCCTTGAGGTAAATCATGACCCTGACGGGCTCTTTGTTTGAGCCACTTCTGAAGACATGACGCTAGAGTGGTCAGCGCCGGACACTGCAGGGTTTGGCTGGTGCAGTGGGGGAGGGGCGACACCATTTTCTGGGGACAGAATCCCAGCCCAGGGAGAAGGCCTGGGGGGTCAGGGCACACTGCTGCCCCAGCGCAGCCTCGCCGTCTCTGGCAGCGCTTCCAGGACGGCGTCTGGGCGTGGGCCCGCCCTCTCCAGGGGGCCATGGGAAAGTGAGTCTCTGCCACTGTGCCCTCAGGTGCCAGCACCGCGCCCAGCAGCCGCAGCCGCTCCCTGAGCGGGGGGGGGGGGGCCTGCGCGCGTGCAAGTCCAGCACCTGGACAGTCCACCGTGCCTGCCTCTCCATGGGACTCCGTGCTCCCTCCCAAGCGGACTGAGAGTTTGGTCCAACTTCCCACATTTCCTCTCAGTCCTGAGCTTTTGGTCATCAAACCAGTTGACTCGGACACCCACACCCAAGACCCACCCAAGGCCCGGTCAGTAGGTCGGTCCCTCGGCCAGCCGCCTGTCCCTGACTCCCCCACTCTGGCGGCCCTTCTGGTCAAGAGCCCAGGACTGAGCTGCACCTGGAGCTGCACAGACCGTGAAGTCTCATAGCCGCAAGATCCCCTCCCCCTTCTGGGGACTCCCCCAGGTTCTGGGAGTAAGCAGCCACTGTGGACAGTACCGGCTGTGGTCAGAGAGGGCGGCAGCCATCTCTGAAAAGTGGGCAACTCCCTCTGGCTGTGGACCCGCCTGAAACCCAGCTACCATAGCTGCGTGCAGGGAGCCCCCAAATGTAGGGGATTGAAACAGCCCTTGGACCGCAGAGGCCCTTGTCTGGGATTTCAGCTGGGTCTGGCTGCAGTCAGAGACCACTGGCTCCTGTGGTGAGTGCCCCAAGGGGACAGAAGCTGGCCCACCCGTCAGACCCCCCACCTTGGCCACACTTCTCAGCCAGCCAGCCACAAGCATATTCCAGACAGAAGCCACAGGCCCCGCCTCTCACTGGGGGGATGTCACCGAGCCTGCTGTCAAGGCAGCTGTGCCCTAAGGCCCCGGTGGCCAGGACACAGCCCTGCCCGCTCTCCCGGGGCCAGCTCAATCTCGAGAGTTCCAGCCCCCCGGGCCATTCCCACGGCACACAGCGGCACATTCTCGTCCCTGCCTGCCTGAGCTGCAGCCATGGGGCTTACAATCCTGCCTGCAGAGGCAGGAAAGAAACACTCGTCTGGTTTAAATGTCACCAATGTGTACACCTTTCAGAGGACAAGTTTTCACCAATATAAAATACTTTTTTAAAGGTTTATTTATGTGCACGCACAAGAGCTCAGGTACAGGCCAGAGGTGCAGGGGGTGAGAGACAGACAGAGTGGGGACCAGAACAGGTGGAACCCCCTGCTGAGGGGGCCACAGGGGACCAGGGGTCTGCCACACCCTGGGGTCCCTCCCTGGCCGGCGCTCGGGCGGGCCGCAGCCTCTCAGGCTGTGCTTTAACCCGGCCCACCAAGGAGGCCCTGTGCGAAAAACCACTGTGACAATGAAGGAGAACTGAGTATCTGAGGTTGCTACCATTAGGGAACAGCAGTAATGCCTGAAATGGGAAGGTCATTACAGGCTCCCTCACACAAAGTGCCTGTCCCCAGGCTGCCATGTGGTAGCCACAGGGCCACACCCCCAGGCCTGGCGCCCAGAGTGGCAGGCCCCCACAGTGCCGCTGCAGAGCTCAGAGAATCCCCTGCTGGCACTGACTTCGGGATGCCGAACTGGAGGCTGTCATGAGAACAGCGTCTCCAGTGACCCCAGTTTCTCCAAATGGGGATGAAGCCGGTGGGGTTGCTGCTCCACCTGCCCAGGGAAAGCCCCTGACGGGAGATCTACACTCCCCGACACACTCTGCGGGGCCTGCGGAAATGCTCTATCTGGGGAGCAAAATCACCTTTAGCAAGCCAGGCTCCAGCCCCGTGTCCAGCCCTCCGCCGAGGCCAGAGGCTGGACTCAGCCATCCTCCGGCCCCTGACACAACCCACAGTGCTGGAACCTTGTCCGAGATCCTACTTCTGAGGGGCCCAAAGGAAGGCAGGTGCTGGGAGTGAGAGGGTCACCAGAGGCAGAGTGGGGAGCAGAACAGGCAGATGGCCTGAGACCACTGCTGAGGGGCGCAGCGGGGGGGCCAGGGCGGATCTGCCACATCCTGGGGTCACCCCTGGCCAGGGGTCAAACTCGTGCTGCGGGCAGCGACAGCCTCAAAGTGCTGTGCTCCCCCCAGGAAGCGACCTCTTAAGCCGCATTAAGCTTAACAAAGCCCAGAATTAATTAACGTAAGGCCCCCGCGGAGGGGAGAAGTACTCACTTCAGTTCCAAACAAATTCTATGTTGGACTTGCAACAAGTTCTATGTTTCGATTTCCTTTTCATTTAAACCCCCTAAAAATTATTATTGTTGCTTTAAACAGACCTGTGTACTTGTTACCCACTCACACGCCTTCATCCTTCCTCGCACCTCAGACCGCTGCGGCCTGAAACACTCCCCCTCTCCTCGCAGCAGACATCCCCTTACTGGGAGTCTTTGGGTGGACACTCCTAGTTGATGTGAAACTGTATTCTTTCTAAAATGTTTTTATGCATTCAGAACTAGGGTACAGGCCAGAGGGGCAGGAGCGCAGAGGAGATTCCCCAGACAGAGCGGGGAGCAGAACAAGAACTGACGGCAGGGGAGAGTGGGGGAGGCAGGAGGGGCCTGCTGCGCCCCAGGGGTCACTGCCCAGCCAGGGTGGCGCCGCTGCACCCTAAGCCTCGTGCCAGCAGGGAGGGCCCGGGAAAACGTACCCTACGTGCAGCGGAACACCCCGAAACGAAGGCAGATGAAGGCAACCCTCATCGGAGAGTCTAGGGCCCGTCTGCTCGGGCTCCTTGGTGCGGGCACCCGGGGCGAAGGGCTGCGCGTGGCCCGGGGGACCTCTCCGCTTTCTTCAATGTATAAGTGCACACATTTGTTACAAATCAGCCTTCTTTTGCAGAGTTTTAAACAAGTGAAGTGTGCAGGGAAAACACGAGAACAGCAGCGGGCGAGGGCGCCGGGGGGTTGGCTGGGGAGGCTCATTTCCAGGCCAACTGACCGCTGCACAGCCCCGGGAAACGGCCACTTTCTTTTTCTTTTTAAGATTCGTTTTATTTATTTATGCACACCAAGAGCTGGGGTGCAGGCCAGCAGTGCAGGAGAGAGGACACCCCAGAGACAGAGCGGGGAGCAGAGCAGGCAGATCCACTGGGACACGCTGCTGAGGGACCGCAGGGTCAGGAAGGGTCTGCGGCGCCCGGGGGTCGCCCCCTGGCCGGGGAGGGGCTTGCAGCGCTGAGACTCCACCCCTGGGCCACCGGCCCCAGAGATATGGCTGAACAGTAGAGAAGACAAAGTGAAATATGAAAATGCACAGCAACACAGGAAGGGCGAGGAGGCGGGCAGACGAGACGGAGCAGGACGGCGGCTGTCCAGCCGTAGGCCACCGATTCACTAAGTGCCTGTGGGGCGGAGACCAGGCCCGGCCGCAGGCCCCTCGCCGCTGCCAGCCCACCACCTCCCCTGCCCACAGCTCGCAGACGTGGGCCAGGAACCCCACTTTCCAGCAGCAAGTTGGGCCGCAGCGGGCTGGGAAGCAGCCCCCGTGGACCTCGGCCTGGCTGGAGCTTGGAGACTCGAGCTGGCTGTGCTGAACCGCCCCTGGGGCGCCCACGGGGAGGCCCCGAGGCCTGCTGGCCACTGAGGGGGGCAGAGGCGTCCGCAGCCCGGCGAGCCCCGGGACCCAGGCCTTGGAGATGCCGAGTTGCGCGAGTCAGAGTGAGTCCTGGACCACGTGTGGGCTCTGGGAAAACGTCAAAAGAGAAAAGCCGTCATGGCATTCAGCAAATACGTGACCTGAGATGAGCGAAACAACGCCTGGACACGCGGTACCGAAGCCGGCAAGGGCAAGGGGAGCTGCGGCGGCGCCGCGGGGCACCAGGGAATCCCCACGCCGGTTTCCACAAAGAAAACAGCCCCGGGCGGCCGTGGCGGCGCCTCACAACCGCGCAGGGGAGGCAACGCCGATTCAACGCGCAGAGGCGCCTTTCCTGGCCGGATCTCGGCCCCTGCTGAAAGCGGGGGGCTCGGAACACCAACAGCCGCGAGCCGGCGGCCGCGGCCCGGGGGCGCCAGCGCCGAGCCGGGAGCCCTCGGCCCTGCCCCTGCCAACGGCGCTGCCCCGCTTCCGCTGCCCGCTCCTGGCAGTGGGGACCGCGGACTGGCGGCTCCAGCACCGTCCCCGGTGCCACGAACGGGTCGGGCCAGCAGTTGAGGGGCCAAGTGCTTGTGCTCCGG